ACAAAAGCAACAGAACACTTTTCCAATTAAGACCTTGTCCAAAAGCAAAACGGAGCACGAGTCAAACAGGAAATAACTCACAGACAAAATAAACAGACCATGATCTCTTGACTCTGAAGTTCTTTGCAAATTGTTGCCTCCAGCAACCAGCCCTGCCCACACATTCACTTTTTGTTACGCAGCCCCCAAGGTGTGGCTTCTCACTGCTCCTCCCCTGGAGTCGTCCCATTGCCTCCCTCTGTCCTACTCGTGTGACCTGTCTACGTTTAGGAGCATCTCTGTGATCTTCCAGCTGTGCTTCCTCTGAGTCCGACTCAGCTTCCCAGCACAGCTGGCTCTCAGCTTGATCACGAGTGGAAGGACCAGCCTCTTCGTTAGTTTGTAAGACCTGCAGCTCATCAGAGCCTCCCTCGGACTCTGATGGCTCTCCAGGCCCCACTTCTTCTTCCTCCTCCTCCTCCTCCTCCTCCTCCTCCTCCTCCTCCTCCTCCTCCTCCTCCTCCTCCTCCTCCTCCTCTGATTCCCCAGACTCAACTACAGGGATCACAGGCTGGAACAGAATCACAGCATTCAGGGGTTCATGAGTTCAGATCCTGCCTTAGCTATGAAAGCTGTCTGGGTGACTTTGGGCCAATCACCAGGAGACCGTGAGTTCTAGTTCTGCCTTAGGTATGAGGCAGACCTTGGGTCCAGTTACACTCTCTCTCAGCCCAGCACACCTCCCAGGTTCATTGCTGTGGAAAAAATAGGAGGAGAAGGAAGGTGTATCAGTGATGGCGAACCTTTTAGAGACCGAGTGCCCAAACTGCAACCCAAAACCCACTTATACATCCTCGAGTGCCGGGTGGGTGTGGCCCATTGGGTGGGCGTGGCTGCGGTGGTAACGGCAGACTGGGTGGGACTAAAAAGTTCAATCAATCAATTCCAACTTTGCGAGATCTTTTTTTTCCCCGCGAGAAGTTGAAATTGACTGATTGATTGAACCTTTTTTTTTTTTGCACACGGTGGCGGAGGCCTAAAGCAAAAAGGTTTTATAAAACCCAGCTGAAGGCCTAGGACTGGGGCGACGGCGTGGGTGCCCACAGAGAGGGCTCTGCGTGCCGCCTATGGCACCCGTGCCATAGGTTCGCCACCACTGGTGTATCAGATGTGTTTGCCGTTTTGAGTTATTTGTAAAAGGTGGGGTACAAATAATAAAATAAAAATAAAATACATAAATGATGCCTTGCCAGGTATTTAAGAATTCTCTTTCTCTCAAATATATATATATATATTTAAAAAAACTTAATTTTATGGCAAGTTTCGGGAGGTGCTCCGAGCCCCCGACTCCACCCCTATGTCCTGAATATCAGATGAAGGCTCCAGGTGAGGCGTTCTTATTAAAATCGATCACAAGGATTGCTGGGGTCTTTCAGCCTTCGCTCACGTTGCTGGCTTCAAATGCTACAAAGGGTTCCTCTCAGCTTGCAAAGAGCTGCCAAGCATGAAGATTCAAACTGTTCTCTCTCCTTTGCTCCTGAAGTCAAGATAATTTCATTTCTGGATTCTTTGAGCTGCTCACCCTGTGAGTGCCACGCGTTTCGGTGCGTGCACAGTCTTAATCAACATAACTATGTTAATAACCACTGTATTCCACATTCTGCCCGAGATACGGAAGGTCAGGAATTTTTTTTGCCTCTCAAAAATGGTCAGGGGGAAGCTTCTAATGCACAACGCAGACGAGGAATCTAATAAGTCATTCGATCTCGTCATGTTGTCTGGGGATTTTTTTCAGACATGACTGTGCGTCAGTCACCCTACATAAATTCTCCAAGAAACCATCCATGGATAAAAAAAAGGGGGAGGGAGGAATCTGAATAGCTTGATGGCCTTTGGCTGGGGTACAGCAAATTTATCTGACTCTTCTATAACTCTATTAGTGGGACTAATGGCCTGTCCTATGCCATTAAAAGCTAAATGCCACTTCTGAAAGCTTGTACAGGACAAAGGCAGGAGCGTAAGGATTTTCTTAACCTCCAGCAAACTTGCTTTTAAAGAAAGCTTCGCATTCCACAACAATAATAAACCTCAAAACAAACTGAAAAAAAAAAAAACAAGAACGAAGAACGTAGGACTCTGTCCGTAGGAAATAGCTTCTTGCAAAATTTACTGCCTCCGAGGCTTTTTCGAGATAATAAATCTCTGAGATTTGAATAAGCCCAACTCTTAAATATACACTCAGTAACTGTTCAGAGTTAAGACCGTAAGGAGAAGACAGGCTATTTTTCATATTAGTAGGTTGCCAATGAAAGAGAATTGACAAGCTAAGGAATAATGTTATTTCAAGACTAATGGGTTCCCCCGGAACGTGCAGAGGGCGTGCTCAAAAATCTGATTACCTCTGGATTAATTTGGCAAAGCTGTACACTGCAGAAGATATATAATAAAATGATCCAATTAAAAGAACAGGCATGGCCAGCTCGGTTGTCCACCCACCCAATCATCATCATTCAAAGGGGATTAGGATCAACAAAACTGGACTCTGAGCCTTTGTTTTCCAAACCAAAAGCATCACTTAAGAAGTCCCAGAAATAATTCCCAAATTTGACAGTCAGGTCACGGAGTGGAAACAGTGAATAGGTCAAAGAGAACATAGAACATAGAATAATACAGTTGGATGGAACCTTGTGGGTCCCTAGTCCAGGGGTAGGCAACCTTGGCTCTTTTTTGACTGGTGGACTTCAACTCCCAGAATTCCTGAGCCAGCATGGCTCAGCTTGGAAACCTCTCCCTTTCCCCTCAGCATGGCTGGCTCAGGAATTCAGGGAGTTGAAATCCACAAGTCATAAAAGAGCCAAGGTTGCCTACCCCTGCCCTAGACCATTTCAGGTAAATGCGTGTCCTGTTTGGAAAGCCTCCATGATGGAGCACCCACAACATCTGAAGGTAAACTATTCCATTGGTTGATTGCTCTCACTGTTAGGAAATTTCTCCTTAGTTCTAGGTTGCTTCTCTCCTTGGTTAGTTTCCAACCATTGTTTCTTGTCTTGCCTTTTGGTGCTTTGGAAAATAGCTTGACCCCCTCATCTTTGTAGGAGCCCCTCCAATATTGGAACAGTGCTATCATGTCATCCCAGTCCTTCTTTTCATTGAACTAAATATACCCAATTCCTGTAACCGCTCTTGGTATGTTTTAGCTTCCAGCCTCCTAATCATTTTTGTTGCTTTTCTCTGGACTCATGACGATGAGTTATGATGATGAAGTTATCCCTGGATAACTTCAAGGGATAACTTCATCACCATCATATTATGATGATGAAGTTATCCCTTTAGTCATGTCTGACTCTTGATGATTCTGTCTCTCCATATCTTCCAGTCTTGCATTACTTTGAGTTGTTCTTATTGTCAACTTTGATGGTGTCACTTTGGTAGCCTGGTTTCCTTTTACCACTAACTCTTCCAAACATAATTGCTCTCTCCAGTGAATTCCCTCGCACAACATGGCCAAAGTAAGCAAGATGCAATTTTGTGATTTTGAATGGGTCAGATAATAATGAATTACACAGTTCAAGCACCGTGTTTGGTCTCTGTCTTGGAGCTCAATTGATATTTTAAAATATGTTCAACGAATTGAAGATGATGATCTTTAAATGGGTTTAGCCATTTCTTTCTTCTTTCACTGTCAAAATGACAATCCCAAAAAACCAACTCGTTGTTGCATCTCCAGAGCTCTAGAGCGGTGGGCGTCGGACCGTAAGTTGGCCATCTTTAACTTAACCCTGTTTTGTTGTTCTTAAAATTAGGTTCCCACCACAATGGAGATGTTCTGCTGTTATGGGCCAGTGATTCCTCAAGGCTATGGGGCGTGCTACAATCCACAGTCCCAGCATATCTTATTCTGCGTTTCAAGCTTCAAAAACTGTCCAGAGACCTCTTCCAGCAAATTTGTCAAAGCCATAAGTGAAAGTCTAATGGACTTGAAAGAGCTCTGTACCAAGTCCAGCTTGACCTCGACAAGCCAGCAGGCTAAACTGGAAGGATGTCCTTCGGTTACTAAACCTTGATTCCATGCGTGTTGCAGTCTTTCCCTTCGTCCTCTTTGCAAAATGTTCTTAATGTAGAGTGATGTTTCTGTAAAAAAAAAAAAAGCCAGCTATTTATTAGAGGCAGGAGAACTTTATTTTTCTTTAAGCAAGTATTCCTATCCCTATTTATCACAACAGGAGCTTAAATTATTGAGAAAGCTGACATTTCAGTGCCGTGCAGTGCAAATGTGTGAATAATGTTTGACCCAAAGAATGAAATTACATGCAATTCATCTCAATGTGAAATAAGCAGTTAACGCTAGTATTTTAGAAATAGCTGCTGTGAACGTGCAATATATCCCAGGAGGGAGAGTTCCAACTCTCTATTATTTATTCATTTATGGAATATATAAACCACTTTGGTCTAAGCAGGATACAAAGAGCCACAGTAACGTAGCCAATGCAATAAAAAAAATATACAGCAGGACCTAAGAAATGATATCGTGCTAACAATATTAATTTTTTAAAAAAATCCCAATTTCAAGATCTTAGAAATCCCAAAGGTGCTTTTTTCAGGAGGCAACTGGACTTTGTTTTTCTTTGACGACATTTTGCTTCTCGTCCAAGAAGCTTCTTCAGCTCTGACTGGATGGTGGGGAATAGAAGGATTTATACTCCTTGCAGACCGCTGGTCATTTGTAGCTGAAGAAGCTTCTTGGATGAGAAGTGAAACATCTTCAAAGAAAAACAAGAAAGTCCAGTTGCCTCCTGAAAAAAAACACCCTTGGGATAACTATGACCTGGATGAGTGAGAATCTCCAAAGATCTTAGAAAAAGATGCTTGTCCATCATTTTAAGGATGGATTTGTGACTTCCAGTTCTGATAAGAGTTTGCTCTGATTGAATCTGCTGGCCTAGAGTGACTCTGCCCTCTTTTTTATTCTCTTGAGCAATTGGTCCACATAGTCTTTGGTCTCAAGAGAAACCAAGAGCACCATGGATGATGCTGAAGGTCAGTCAGATATTTCCAAGAACCTATTATAGGAATTATTCTTCACAAGAGCACAGTCAACTCTTTGGGAGAAGATTGGGTTAGAAGCCAAGGAAGATTGGAAGGCATTTTCCTTCTCTTCAATTTCTAAAGGCCATTTTGAACCCTGTATTAATTAATTAATTAATTACTATCTACCTAAAAGGTAAGTGAGAGTAAGAAGCTAATGCCGTATCAATCAGGACAACCTTCATTGTAAAGGCTATAACAGACTATTGCCAGGCTGAACGTGTTCCTTCGTCCCTCACTTTTATCTTCCTGTGATCTTGAGAGGGTTATCTGAGATGTTTCCTCAGATGATTCTTTTGGCCTGGGCTCACGCCCCACCTATCTGACCGTTGCCTTAGTAGTAGCTATTCCTGCTCCTCCTTCAAGCCCATTCCTGACGCCCTCTGCAATTGCCAGCTCAAATGCTTCAACCTGTTATTGTACCTGTATCATATTCTCTTCAGGTTAGTTGTCATAAGTGTTGCATGTTTTAATTGTTTCATTAGGGGAAAAAAAGATGTTACGTGTGCGTGGCTCAGGGCTGAATTGTTGAGTTCTTAGTGTTCGTTGAGCTTGTCTTCTTACAAGATGCTTCGTTACCAGGGTAGGTAACATCCCTCAGGGCACGATGGAGGATCGCAAGAAAAAGATGTCAAAACTTTAGCTAGCCTTCAAGGATTGTGGCTCCAACTTCAGTTACTGTAAGAGATCCAAGCGTGATCATCTGGGGGTTCCAGAATGGCCTGTGAGAGAGCCTAAGGAGATGGGAATTTTGTGTGCCAGGATAATGGCATTTCTTGGAAGGATCAGAGCTTAATGGATATTGAGGGCCTCCTTTGCATGCACTCTATAACTGTAGTTCAATACTTGACATCTCCAGTAAGGACTACGGGAGATGCCTTTCTCATAATCCCGCTGGTCAACGTGAACTGTACTGAAATAATTACATTAATGTCGTGGCTTTTAATAAGGCAGACTGCCCACCTCACTATTCTTCAAATTGCTAGCTCTTGGAACTGTAGTCATAGAATGATGGAATCAGAGATTCTTGTTTCTAGAAGCAGGATCCAATCCCAGCTGTCAGGCCCACAGAATCAAGAAGGACCTATAGAGTTACTTCAGAGTAGTTTATGGTTGTTCACCTACAAACAGAATCTTGCCAGGTTAAAGCAATTATCTGCATGTGTGCAGATATGTAGTCTGTAAATTGATAAGGAGGAACTGTCTTAGCCTTCTTCCTGCCGACCAGACTTTCCAAGCTCTGCTGTTTCTTTGCCCACTGAGAAGGAACCCCTCCTTCCTGTGATTCTAGACCAGAGATCTAGATCCCCAACCTTTCGGGCACCAGGGACCGGTTCCGTGGAGAGAGGTTTTACTGCAGACCGGAGGGGGCGTGATTTCATGTACTGCCTGCATCTCGCAGATGGGGCTTTGCTTGTTTGTGTAGACTGGTTTCTGGCATGTTGCGGCCCAGTGCTGGTCCACGGACCGGGGATTGGGGACCCCTGCTCTAGACTACATTCGGTCACATGACTAATCCATTCCTTAAATTAAAACAGACAGCCTCCATTTGAAAATATCCCACAAAAGGAACCCAATATCCCATTTCACTATCAACTTTTTTTTTATTGCTAGGGTTATTTACCC